TAATACACATGAACAATCAGTTCACTTAGCAATTTGCTAGAAAAACTCAGAGAATTTGTTTAAATTCATAATCTGAATTTTTAAATTTGTTTTCAATGAGTTTCGGTTATCTTGATCACAAATAGATTTATTTTTGGTTGTTAGTTTGTTGTATAAATAAGGACCCCGATATGAAATAGAATTTGTGCAGACAGTTCTGTGTGTACCTGCCACTTCTGTTCCTTGTGAAAAACTGTTTAGTTTGTCAGGGTACATTGTCAACAAACTGCGATCTTGTCTACTTCCAAAAAACGTTAACGTCCTCGTTTGTTTACGTGACTGGCTAAAGTGATGCCTACTTGTACTTGTCAATTAAACTGAATACAGTATAGCAGGCATTAAGTATATATATATATATATATATATATATATATATATATATATATATATATATATATATATATATATATATATATATATATATATATATATATATATATATATATATATATATATATATATATACATATATATATATGAAGACTCCACGGGAAGAAACGGCAGGGTCACGTTTTGAAAATTTTGACATTTTACTTTTTTTAACTTTATAAACAATTTTATAATACATTTTATCTGAATTCAAATCAAAAAAAAAATTGGATGTACTTTTATAGTTTGATGGATTTTTAATTATAAAATACATACCTCCCCGAAAAGACAAGTGTTTATGAGTTTAAATAATATTCGCAACTTACTAATAGACATAAACCAAGTTTATCAATTTTATTTTTTGAATTATCAAGACTCATACTTACGGATATAAGTCTTTGTTTTTCACCTAAAAGGCCAATAGAAATTCTTAAAAAATCCAAGAAAAGAAAAAGTAAGGAAAGATTGCGTGAAAGTATAAAGAAAAAAAGATTAGCATCGCATAAAACAGGACTTGAATGTAATTGTATAAGGCTGAAATGCTTCGATAATCTTAAAGAAGAAGATAGAAAAGTGTTAATAAGATATTTCAACTCTCTATCCAGCAAGGATGCTAAAGATTCGTATCTTGCAAGTTGAATAACTTTAAATAACGTTTCAAGAACAAGACCACGAAACATTAATTCAAAAGGTTATAATAGCAGTTACAAATATAAATTTTTATTCACGTAGTAATCACGAGATACTTACGAGTTCGTTTATTTATGTTTGCTTTTCTGCATTTATTTCAATCTTTGGCATAAAGAAGGGAAGATTGGAGACCATTAAAAGAAACCTTTTAACTAAAGGTAAATTATATATTTTGATTGAATATAGAATGCTTATTTTTAGTGGAAGTTTCCTTATATATAATTTTTTTTTTTCATTATAGGTCACTCTCCCCATGAAGGGTATACTGTAATAAAATATCACATACGCCTAAAATATTACATCCCAATATCACATCCGCCTAAAATATTACCATAGAAGGGGTAAACTGTAATAAAATACCACATCCGCCTAAAATATTACATCCCATTGAAAAAATGAAAACGAGAACGCGCTTTCGAGTCATTGCACTTAGAAGTGTATTAAATACGTCCGAAACATTAATTTATAAACAATATAATTAGAACGCAACGAGATTCATAAAAACGTTTTTTTACTAATATACTATAAATGAAGTTAGCATAAAATAGGAATATATTTTAAATTCTTATTTATAAAATTTTGATCGTAATGTATTGTGTGACAATAGTAAAAAAAAGATTACACATGAGGGATATAATACTTTAGGTAATAAAAATAACAATCGTTTGCAATATTTTAGAAGCCTGCAAAGGGGGGATGTGATATTTTAATCAAGAATTCCAGTTTCTTTTTGTGACATATACAGAAATAACAAGTGGTGGATGTTATATTCTATATACCAAATACTAATTCTTTAAAATACTTAATAAATTACTTAGGGGGATGTAATATTTTAGAAGTAGACATCGCGGGGATGATATATTTTAAGTAAGAATCTCAGTTTCTTTTTGTGACATATACAGTGAATAAACCGAGGGGATGTGATATTCTAGATACCAAATACTAATCGTTTGAAATATTGTATGAATTACTTAGGGGGATGTAATATTTTAAAGGTAAACATAGAGGGGATGTGATATTTTAAATAAGAATTTCAGTTTCTTTTTGTGGTACATACAGAATTTACAAGCGATGAATCTTATATTTTAAACACTAAATACTAACCGTTTAAAATATTGTATGAATTACTTAGGGGGATGTAATATTTTAAAAGTATTCATAGGGGGGATGTGATATTTTAAATGAGAACTTCAGTTTCTTTTTGTGGTACATACAGAACTTACAAGTGATGAAGGTGATATTCTAGGTACCAAATAGCAATCGTTTGAAATATTGTATGAATTACTAGGGGAATGTAATATTTTAGAAGTACACATAGGAGGGATGTGATATTTTAAGTAAGAACTTCAGTTTCTTTTTGTGGCACATGCAGAACTTACAAGTGATGGATGTGATATTTTAGATACCAATTACTAATTGTTTAAAATACTTAATAAATTACTTAGGGGGATGTAATATTTTAGAAGTAGACATTGCGGGGATAATATATTTTAAGTAAGAATCTCAGTTTCTTTTTGTGACATATACAGTGAATAAACCGAGGGGATGTGATATTCTAGATACCAAATACTAATCGTTTGAAATATTGTATGAATTACATAGGGGAATGTAATAATTTAAAGGTAAACATAGAGGGGATGTGATATTTTAAGTAAGAATTTCAGTTTCTTTTTGTGGTACATACAGAATTTACAAGTGATGAATCTTATATTTTAAACACTAAATACTAACCGTTTGAAATGTTGTATGAATTACTTCGGGGGATTTAATATTTTAGAAATAAACATAGGGGGGATGTGATATTTTAAGTAAGAATTAAAGTTTCTTTTTGTGACATATACAGTGAATAAACCGAGGAGATTTGATATTCTAGATACCAATTACTAATTGTTTAAAATATTGTATGAATTACTTAGGGGGATGTAATATTTTAAAGGAAAACATAGAGGGGATGTGATATTTTAAGTAAGAATTTCATTTTCTTTTTGTGACATTTGCAGAGTCTCCACAGGGGTAATGTGATATTTTAAACACCAAATACTAATTGTTTGAAATATTGTAAAGAAATACTTAGGGGAATGTAATATTTTGGAAGTATGCATAAGGGGGATGTGATATTTTAAGAAAGAATTTTAGTTTCTTTATGTGATACATACAGAACTTACAAGTGATGGATGTGATTTTTTAGGTACCAAATACTAATTGTTTAAAATATTTTATCTTTTTGTGACATATACATAGAAAATAACCGAGGAGATGTGATATTCTAGATACCAAATACTAATAGTTTGAAATATTGTATGAATTACTTAGGGGGATGTAATATTTTAAAGATAAGCATAGAGGGAATGTGATATTATAAGAGTTTAAGTTTCTTTTTGTGGTACATACAGAACTTACAAATGAAATATTGTAATATTGTAAAGAAGTACTTTGGGAGATGTAATATTTTAGAAGTATACATAGTGGGGATGTGATATTTTAAGAAAGAATTTCAGTTTCTTTATGTTATTTATACAGAAATTACAAGTGATAGATGTTATAGTCTAGTTACCAAATACTAATTGTTTGAATTATTTTATGAATTACTTAGGGGGATTTAATATTTGAGACGCCTGAATAGGTTGGATGTGTAATTTAAGTAAGAATTTCAGTTTCTTTTTGTGACATATATAGAGAATAAATAGGGGGAATGTTATATTCTAGGTATCAAATACTAATCATTGATTAGTATTTGATACCTAATGAAATATTGTAAAGAATTACTTAGGGGGATGTAATATTTTAAAAGTATACATAGGGGGGATGTGATATTTTATGTAAAAATTTTAGTTTCTTTATGTGATACATACAGAATTTACAAGTGAAGAATCTGATATTTAAAACACAAAATACTAATCGTTTGAATTATTGTAAAGAATTACTTAGGGGGATGTAATATTTTAGATGCCTGCATAGGGTGGATGTGTAATTTAAGTAAGATATGTATCTCAGATATTGTTAGCTATTTTTTGTTTCTTCGGTCCTCCTCTGATGGGGAGATCTTTATAATAAATTTATATATTTAATTAAAAAATTAAAAATAAAATTAAAGAGCTTCTAATAAAATCAAGAAACTTTAATATTTATATTGTTTTTTAGCTTTTTAAAGTTTTAATTTAATATATATTTTTTTTAGTTACGATTGAGCTAACAATTTAAACATGCGACATTGTTAAAAAAGTCATATATAAAACTTTGGTGGAATTTAAGTTTTCATAAGATTTAAAATGAACGAAATTAATTACAATAATTTTTTATTTTAAATGTTTTCATATCTTACAACATAAATATTTTACTAGTTTTAATGTGCAAAGCGTTTTGAAGGAAAATAAATAATTACGGTTCGTCTTTTTTCATTCTATTGCATAATTTAAAATTTTTCTCCATTACGGCCACCTATGGTGGCTGAAGCGTAAGGTTTTGGGAAGGTTATAACTTCTTCAGATTTTTAAAGAACTATTTTTAAATATTAACGTTTCTTTGGGTGGTTTGGTATGGAAATATAATGTGATTATTGAGCCTGTTGAGGCGAGTTAATAATATTTAGTCCAGTTCACAATTATTAAAATTATACAAATTTTTAAAAGTGGCAGTTAAAAAATTAACTTATATTTATTACAATAAATTATAAAATCATGTATTTCATGTATTAGAGTCATCCAATATCATACTGAACTGAAATGATAAAGAATGATGTACTATAAAAAACAAAGTACGTAAATGGTTTGTTGTATATATATATATATATATATATATATATATATATATATATATATATATATATATATATATATATATATATATATATATATTCCATCAAATGTTAACACAACATTTTTGTAAAAATAAAAATTTTGAAAAAAAATACTATTGAGCAAGTATTATTCTTCCGCACTAAGAATATTCTGCTTTTGTTAGGTCTTCCTATTTTCTTAATGACAAAAATGCTAAAGTGCAGGATTATTCAAAGAAGATTTCACTAATAAATAATAATCATCCTTATAATACTTATAGACAGATTTATAGCTTATAGCGATTTATATTCAACAAGTTTGAAAAAAAGACAAGAGCGTGGTAGCTTAATTTAAATGATTGAATTAGGTAACAAAATTGACTATATTAATTGTTATAATAAAGATTGATTAAATTTTTATTCAACGAGCCCAGTACCAACACGTAGCCATAATAAACATAACAAAAAAATCTGCACAGAAATTGCCCTTATTTATATATATATATATTTTTTTTAATTTGTTATTTAGGTACCCTAAGAAGTCCTAACGGTCTTGTCACAGAGCACCGCGGAAGTGCATTTAACCAGAAAGTTCACACCTCCTTCCTTACCATGACGCGAAATATGTCTAAAGCTCGTTTTGAACCTGGATCTCCTGCTTATAAAGCATACGATCTAACTGCGCCACGGCCACACAATATTTGGCATAACTTTTTTGTGAATCAAGAAGCTCGTTTTGATCAGTTTAGAAAATTAAAAGGTTTAAATAAAGATAAGCGCTAGAAAAAGAATGAGCTAAAACAAAGTGAAGTTACATTATATTTTTAAATATATTAGTTGAGGTTGAGAGTTTATGTTCACTTATTTTAGTTTAAAAGACATCTTTGTCAGACACTTGTCTCAAAAACCCATAGCTATTCAAAGGCGTCTAAATTTTATTACGCATAATACAGGTCTTTAAACGTCTTTAAAAAACGCTGAGAAGAGAAATGTTTTTTTAAATATTGTTACTCTGTAGAAGTTACTGGTATACCTGTTACTTCAATAAAGTTTTCATTTTATTTATAAAATATTTTATTTTTTCTTCAAACCTAGTATTTGTTTAACTTTCTACGGGTAATACTAATATGAAAACAATTTTTATTGTTTTTTGATTTATACTCAGGTAAAATATTTGTTTTCTTATTTTAATTTATAGTTAAAACATATACTTTTTCATTATTTTATTTTATGGTTTATTTTCAAGAGAAGGCAGAGACACCAACAAAAAGCTTTGAAGTTAATGATAGTGAAGGTATGAATTAAAAATTCACTTATTCATTTGTAATTGTTAGCCTTTTATTTTATTTATAAATTATTTTCTAGGGGAGGCAGATAATTATAAAAATCTTTGCAGCTAAAGACAGTGAAGGTATATAATAATAAATCACTTTTACATTTTTTTAGCGTTACCTTTTTATTGTAATATATTGTTTTTTTAGAAGTGGCAGATACAAAAAATAGTTTTGTAGTAAAAGATGGTAAAAGTAGAATTTAAAAAGTCACTTTTTCATTTATAAATGTTAGCATTTTATTTTAAAGTATCGCTTGTTTTTTAGAGAAGGCAGAAAAGCCAATAAAAACCATTGTAGTTGAAGATAGTGAAGGTATGTATTAAAAACTTACCTATTTATATATAATTGTTTGCGTTTTATTTTAATTTGTTTTGATTTATTTTAATCTTCTAGAGATAGTGAATGCGAAAAAAAGCTACATAGTTGATGATACAAAACGTATGTGTTATTCAGTGGCGCACGAATGAAATAAAATTTTTTATGTAAACCTATTTAAATAATCAATTTAAACATTATCCCACCTGGTGAAAAAATATGTGTAGAGTTTTAAAACATGTAATCTTCAATAAATGTAATAGTCGTTATTTTATTAGATGAAAGGCTTATGCTTAAATTTTGATGAAATTATGTTTAAATTGCATTTCATAAATAGGTCACGGAATAATAAAATGTATCCATATTAAAAACATATATATATATATATATATATATATATATATATATATATATATATATATATATATATATATATATATATATATATATATATATATATATATATGATATGCTAATATGCTGTATGGTGGACGCTTGCAGTATGTAAAATAGTATAATTGTTTATTGAAAAAGTTTATTTCTCTAAGTACAAAAAGTTTAACTTTCAGTGAAAGGTTAGGTTCCCCATTTTTTTTACAGGGAACCTAACTTTGAACCTGATTTTGAAACTCACTTGTGTTTTAGATAATCAAACCAGGTAATAAAACAATTCACTCTATGGATCCTATGGGAGAACAGATAATTTCCATCACAAAAGAAGAAGTGAAATGGAAGTATGATATTATTATTAGATATTCCTATGTCAAAATTTGTATTTACATCTTTTATAATTTTTTTACTATTATACAGTAGTTGTTACTTACAACAAAGATATGGTGTTTCAGAAAAGTTTGAAATATTAACATTACCACATGCCATACAAGCTGAAGGTATAACATTTGGAGTATTCTGCCTTAGGGTAACTTTAAGAGTCAACTGTAATGAATATATATATATATATATATATATATATATATATATATATATATATATATATATATATATATATATATATATATATATATAAGCTTACATATTTTAGTTTGCTGAAAGTTATACAAATGGAGATGTATTGGTGCGTGTCTTTCCACATGTAGAAGTTAATGCATACAGAAAGAGAGATAAAGGAGGTTTGTGAGATTCTTTAGAGAACTGAAAATGTTTATACTAGTTCAATGTTAAGCGATATCTATAAAAAAGACAAAAAAAAAAAATGATGAAAAATTAAATCAATAGGTCAGAAAAGTTGGCAGAATAGTTTGTGTCGCATTTGTGGAAGTGAAATTGGTCCAAAAACTAGAAAAATTCAAAAAAAAGTTAAATGGATAATAAAATATATTTTAACTACTTTTTAATAAAAATTTCAAATAGAAAAAAATACTTTAAATATTCAAATAGAAAAATGTACATTAAATATTTATTTTTAGATAATGTGATATTTGCATCCAAATCGATGGTACCATATTAGATGCATTGTTTTTAGAAATGAAATTTTTTTTTGTTGTGAACATATTTATATATAAATGTAATATAATTGAAACTTTAAAAATTGCAGTCGTTTCCTTATCTTCAAAATTTTGTCATAAATTGAACCAATTTAAGGTGGAAAACCCCTCAGAAATATGACATTTTTGAAAAAAAAAAATGTTTTCTTGTTTTATGCAAAATTTATCACAGATTCACAATCTGAAAACCATTTTTAAAAATTCGCTATAGATCTTCATTAAAATAGATTTTATTGAACCCTAGTATTGAAAGCTTCCTTAACAACCGCCATAGCAACGACACTATTTTTTACCTTTACTAAAAAATAGTCCAAAATCCTATTTTTTTATATGAAAAATATATCTTGTCAAGTAAATTATATTTAAGCCATTGTTCAAAACAACTTTAGTATAAAAACAGTTACTGGAAAGCTCATAAATATATCATAAATCTTCTACAATGGCTAAGGCTTGCAGAGTTAAACAAAGAACTAAAAATCATAAAAGGAAAAAAATATTTAATGTAAAAAAGAACTTAGTTGTAAATAATGTTGATATGGATGTAAATATGGAATCGAATATTGTAGATATGAATATAAATGTTATTACAAGTGTTGAAGATGTAAATGTAAATATGGAGAAACCAGTTGATCTTAACTTTATTAATTCTAATGAAATATGTGCTTCTGCTAGAAAAATAAAAAAAATTTCGTCATCGCATCCAAAGGTATCTAGTAATATAGTTACTGGATACCGTTTTATAGATTTAGAAATACTAAATTCTATAGTTTCTACCCTTAGATGTCCAGAATGTATGTCATCTAAGTTGTTTCTCTCTGAAAATGAAAACAAGAGAAAAGGTCTAGCGTCTTGTCTTTATGTTAACTGCTGTGTGTGTGATTATTCAAGAGAATTTTACACCTCAACATTGAATATACAAAAAAGTTTTGATATTAATACCAGGGCTGTATATGCTATGAGATCATGTGGTCAAGGCTATTCTGGATTCTCAAGATTTGTCTCATTAATGGACATGCCTAAACCAATGACTGCTAATAATTATAATAAAATTGTTATAAAACTAACTAATGCAGTAAAATCTGTAGCTGAAGATACTATGATGGATGCTGCTCAAGAGTTAAAAGACTTGAAGAGTAATTTTATTTTAAATTCTATTCCAGACCATGTGCCCAATGTTATTGATGTTGCAGTATCATGTGATGGCACTTGGCAGCGACGAGGCTATTCTTCAAACAATGGTGTTGTTTCTGTTATTTCGATGGAAACAGGCAAAGTAATAGATGTTGAAGCTATGAACAAGTTAAGTATACAATTTGGTTGTTTTGTTTAGGTTTGCATATATGCATATATATTATATTGTATATATTCATATATATGTTTGTGTGTATGTAAACACCCACCTAATTTAATATATATGTACATACAACATATATATATATATATATATATATATATATATATATATATATATATATATATATATATATATATATATATATATATATATATATATATATATATATATATATATATATATATATATATTACATACTAGAAAGATTGTTATTTTTTAATATATGGAAATCTACTTGATGTTACATACTTCAGATTTTAATATTTTTTCATCAAAATATAGGTATGTAAAGCATGTTTTCATAAAGAACATCTAAAGAAAGGAAACCCATTAGCCTATGAAATATGGCATGATAAACATAAATGTACTTTTAATTACCAAGGACTACCTGGTGGAATGGAGCCAGAGGGAGCCCGCAGAATATGGGGTAGATCTATCGAAAAACATAATCTACGATATACTGATTTCTATGGCGATGGTGATAGCAAAGGTTATGATGCTGTAAAAAATGTTTATCAAGGTGTTCTTGTAAATAAACTTGAATGTGTTGGCCATGTGCAAAAAAGAGTTGGAACACGTTTACGTAATTTAAAAAAAAAGAAAAAGGTCTTGGTGGCCGTGGAAAATTGACCGATGCAACTATCGATCGTCTCCAAAATTATTATGGCATTGCAATTCGCCAAAACAAAAATAATTTAAGTGCTATGAAATCTGCTATAAGAGCTACACTTTATCATGTTGCTTCATCAAAAAATGAAAATTTACATTTTCCTCACTGTCCAGAAGGTTCAAATAGTTGGTGTCGGTATAATCGTGACAAAGCAAACCATACCTCAACATACAGACCTGGTCCTGGCTTACCAATATCTATTGTTTGGAAACTTAAGCCAATTTATGATGAATTAAGTGATGACATTCTTTTAAAAAAATGTCTGCATGGCCTTACCCAAAATAACAATGAGTCTTTTAACATGACAATATGGGAGCGTATACCAAAAGGCCATTATGTTTCGCTTACGCATCTTCAATTTGGCACTTTTGATGCAGTTGCCCATTTTAACATTGGTAGACAAGCTAGTGTTTTAGTTTTAGAAAAAATGAATTTAAGACCTGGAAAGTATTTGTTAGAAGGATGTAGGAAAATTAATCAAAAGCGATTATACTTAGCCATATATAAAAACACAGAACGAGCAAAGAAACGCAGACAAGTAATTCGTGGAAAAAAGAAAAGTCGATATGACAAATCTCTTGAAAAAGAGCAAAACCCATATCAAACTGGTGCATTTTAAGAATTAACTTATTTTATTATATATAGATTTGCATATTTAATAACACTATTTTTGAATTTTTTATGTTGGCATTTTTAAAAGCTGTTTTTCTCAGATAAAGGGTTTTTAAGACGCCGGCCAGTATATCTAAATAACTAAAAGCGGTGTTAAGCTAAAATTTTAAGTATAAATTTGTTTGATTGTCTTCTGTGATTTAAGCGCGACAGATTTTTTTAAAAATTGAATCCAGTCCTTAAAAAGGTCAACAAAGTCATAAAATTTGGTCAAATTTTTTACATGTATTTCGGTCGAATATATTAGCCTATTAAAAATTATTATGAAAAATCTGCTTCGCTCATATCACAGAATTACCTTGTTAGAACAAGTATGCAAAAAAGATTTTGTTAAAATTGTGTACATCTTTAGATACGTTGGCCGGGGTCGTTCAATATTTTGGTATTTTTGGCACCTGCTACAGCTACCATTTTGCCCAAAAAAATTTTTTTTTGTTTTTTTTAGTTAATTTTGTTATTTATCTTATGTATATGAAGTTAAATTTATAAAATATTGATATTTACTCAAAAAAAATTTTTCAGGGGTTTTCCACCTTAAATGTTTATGCCCTTACAGATAAAAACACAAATAGGTGAAATTTTTTTTTCCCTAGTTTTAGTGACTTCTTGTATTGTTATAATACTTTAACTTGTCGTAAGGCTTTATAATTCTGCCAATTCATATGTCAGCATACATATTATTTTGTGTAAATCATTGGCATACATATTCGGCATATTTTACATATTTCGGCATATTTTACATTCGGCATAGATTACATGTCGGCATACATATTATTTTGTGTAAATTAACCAATCCAATTCATATGTCGGCATACATATGAATTGATTGAACAATAATACATTTTTAATTTGTTAGCTCAATTAAATCTAAAAAAAAAAATGAAAAAAGACTGTTTGAGTAATCTCTGCACATTTTGCAAATAACAGCTAAATTTCTAAATTAAAATATCAAATCTCCCTATGCAGGCTTCTAAAATATATTCCCCAATATCACATCTTTAAAATATTACATCCCCTAAGTAATTCATAAAATTTTTCAAATGAGTAGTAATTGCTATCTTAAATATCACATCCATCACTTGTAAATTATGTTTGTACCACAAAAAGAAACTAAAATTCTTACTTGAAATATCACATCCTCCCTATATATACTTCTAAAATATTAAATCCCCCTAAGTATTTTTCTACAATATTTCAAGCAATTCATATTTGGTATTTAAAATATCACATCTCTCTGTGGAGTCTCTGCATATGTCACAAAAAGAAACTGAACTTCTTACTTAAAATATTACTCCCCCTCCCCTAATGAATACTTCTAAAATATTACATCCCCCTAAATAATTCATACAATATTTCAAACGATTGGTATTTGGTACCTAGATAAATCACATCCATCACTTATAAATTCTGTATGTACCACAAAAAGAAACTAAAATTCTTACTTAAAATATCACATCCCCTCTATGTTTACCTTTAAAATATTACATCCCCCTAAGTAATTCATACAATATTTCAAACGATTAGTATTTGGTATCACATCGTCTCGGTTTATTCACTGTATATGTCACAAAAAGAAACTGAAATTCTTACTTAAAATATAACATCCCCCCAATGTCTACTTCTAAAATATTACATCCCCCTAAGTAATTTATAAAGTGTTTTAAACAATTAGTATTTGGTATAAAGAATATAACATCCGCCACTTCTTATTTCTGTATATGTCACAAAAAGAAACTGGAATTCATCCCCCCTATGCAGGCTTCTAAAATATTGCAAACGATTGTTATTTTTATTACCTAAAGTATTAAATCCCTCATGTTTAATCTTTTTCTATACTATTGTCACACAATACATTACGATCAAAATTTTATAAATAAGAATTTAAAATATATTACCATTTTATGCTAACTTCATTTATAGTATGTTAGTAAAAAAACGTTTTTATGAATCTCGTTGCGTTTTAATTATATTGTTTATAAATTAATGTTTTGGACGTATTTGATACACTTCTAAGTGCAATGACTCGAAAGCGCGTTCTCGTTTTCATTTTTTCTATGGGGGATGTAATATTTTAGGCGGATGTGATATTTTATTACAAAGCACAAGAATCAGTATAACAATTTTACTCCTTAACTAAAAGATAAATATGTGATCTAAAACTAAAATATGTGATCACATTTCTTCTTTTAGACGTAGAGAGTCTCACTACTCTAAAAAAAAAACTAGGCGACTATATCTTCCTCAAGAATTAAATATAACCAAGGTGTTTGACTTGTTTAAAATCAATAAAATGATAAATTGTCATATGAATCTTATCGCAACATATTTAACAATAGTTTTAACGTTTCTTTTGGGTACCCTTGAACTGACACATGTTCTAAATGAGTTTAAAATTAAAGTTGATGCAATAAAAATTGAACTATCTTTTAATTCAGAATGTACAAAGCCTGAACAACAATTGCATGAGCTTGAGTTACAGAAAGAACAGCACCACAAAGATGCAGAAATATTTTATGTTAGGAAAAGAAATGCTCGGTTTAAAGCACAAATAAAGTTTATTTGTATTGTTATGATAAAACTATAGCTAAAAAAGGGGTAACTTAGATGTTATATGATTTTTTATAAAACATTTAGACGAAGAAATTTAATCTGTAGTCCTATTTTGTGATTCATGTGCTGACCAAAACAAAAACTATACATTAATTCGTTTTATGGATTTTCTTGTTCATGAAAAAAAAAAGGTTTGACTTTATCAAAATTACATTTCCAGAACGTGGTCGTTCTTTTATGGAATGTGATAAAGATATGGGATTAATTAATTGCAAAACACCCACTAGTGATCCATCAGATTGGATTAAAACATTCAAAAATGCTCGTAAAAAACCCACTCCGTTTTATGTATTAGTATTAACGCAAGGTTAGGTTAAAAGTATAACTGAGTTTATGAGACCATTTTATAAGAATAAATGTCCAATTCCAACACATCCTCTTCATGAAGTTTGTTTCAGAGGAGACTCAAGTGGCATTGTATTTCATCGTGATTTGTGGAATGGATTATTGTTGAAAACTAATTTTAAAGAAAATAGGAAGAATACTATAAATAGTGAGATCCCCATTCTGTATAATGCAAAACTTTGCATCTCTGTGGCAAAGTACAGAGATTTGCAAGTATTAAAAAGGTTTACACCCAATCCTCAGTTTTTGCGATTCTTTGCCATACAATCAGGAGGTTATCGAGACATTTCATGAAAACATTGATTCTGAAGATGAAGAGTAAATAGACTTTTTTTTAATTTAAATTCTATTTTTAATTGTTTTTTTCTTAGTGTTTCTTGACAAATTTATAATCTTTAATATGTTTCTTCTTTGCTTCACTTAATATACAACAATTTATATAATTAATAATCACAAGATATTGATTATATTTTTTGACTATTAGTCAGGGTATGAAAATAAAAATTCAGATCAAATAAATACTAAATTTCAGATCAAATAAATACTTAAAGCCCCTTTATTATCAGGAAAGAAACTTTGCATTAAATAACTTTTTGTGCTTACAGTTTTGTGACACCTGTATAGGTATAGTTATACAGGTATTTAATAGGTTAACCTTTAAATAAAAAGTAAATTGAACTTTGTCATCAACAGTGATATTTTTGAATAAAAGATTTATAAGAAAAATTAAAGCCTTTCGTTAACGAGAACTAGAACTATTACTATAATTACTTAGACAACTCTCGATATCTCGAACCTCCGATTAATTATTTATATAGGGACCGATTAATTAGTTCGAGTTATCGAGAGTATTATCCATAAATGAGGGTTCGACTGGATTTAAAAAAGTTCGAGATATCAAGTATTTAAGATATCGAGAGTTGACTGTATGTAATATTTTCGTGCACGAAAAAAGAACAAAAATTGAAGCCTTTTGTTAACGAGAACTATAATTTTTTTCTAAACAAAATATCAACACTAAACAGTATTTTTAATTTTAGTTCAATCCCCTATAATTTTTAAGGGTCAATATTAGGTCTTGGTGGTGAGGTTCTTTTGTGTCACAAAAAGCTTCTGCCTAATTTTATTTATAAGCTAATACAAAATAATTAATATTTTAGGTTTTTACTTGATCTAAAAACTAATAAAATAAAAAAAGACATTTTACCGGGGAAAAAAAGGCAGAGTCCATAAAAAACCTCACTTAAAAAAGAAAGTCTGTAACGTAAATTGCTGTATTTAAACTAGAAATATAACTTTAATTGCATAAAAAATTAGTTTTTTTTGTAATATATCTTAAAAATTTTAATCCTTTCCCTAAAAATAAAAAAGTTATATAGGTTTAAAAGTTTAAAAATGAGTTATCGTAAAATGAAAAAATGTGACCCTGCCGTTTCTTCCCGTGGAGTCTATATATATATATATATATATATATATATATATATATATATATATATATATATATATATATATATATATATATATATATATATATATATATATATATATATATATATATATATATATATATATATATATATATATATATATATATATATATATATATATATATATATATATATATATAATGGTTATAAGATAGCTAAGATAGATTACAGTAAAAAAAACAACACTTAAATCTAATAGTATAGAGTCTAGTGTCTAGAAATGATAGTAAACATTTATACATTCGATCTGTGTTAAATAAACGTCTTAACAAATGCAGTGATCAATATAGTAGATTAAAGTTGTAATACCGTAAGTAGTGGACCACGGTAATAATACCACAATGTAGTGGACCACAGTACTAATTATCATAAGATCTTATAAACTTTAAACATCTTTTTTAAAATAACTCAACCAGAACTTGCATGCTTTTATCTTAATGTAATAGCCTGATTTATATGTACATATCTTTGATATTGTTTTTATTGCGTTTATTTTAAATGAAAAACATGTTCTATACTTTTAGAAATTGTGTTGGTAGAAACGTCTTTTGAGAAATACTGCGATT